CAGTCTGCGTGGTTCCACAACTGATACAAGTATAAAACTAAATTAGAATTATCAACAAAAAAACAAATTCTTTTAAAAAACCAAAAAAAAAATAGAGGGGATTGGGAGATGCACTAGCAGAAGTGGCATACAACTCGTTCAGTAAAGAGGTTAGTTTGAGATAAAAGCGAGAGCATCTGCTACTGAAGAATTTGCTCTTTATCAAGAGTTGCAAAGACCAATTCAAAAAATCATTTGGATATTGTATCACCAAAACTCTTTTAGGCTTTAACGGCCACAATTAGATACATCAAAATGCTTCAAAAGGCAAAAATGAAGGTGTCATAACTACGAGCAATACGAAAAGTGTGATTTGTAGAACATTCCACCAAATTCATGATAGCTACATCTCAAAATAGCAGCAACAATATGAGTTGGTGCAAAAGTTGCACTAGTACTTAAGGCAGTTAAAAAAAAAAAAAGCTTACTCATATTCCAGCTACACCAATATCGCCAGGGGACAATAAAATTCAGAAAAGCTTCTGTCACTAACCAAGCAGTCCATCTAAAGTAAAATCTTCAAAATATTGCATTACGGGTGGAGCATTTCTGCTTGTGCATCTAAAATATTCATAACTATAAAATATGCCCCCCTTTTTTTTTGACAAAGAGGGTAGAAGCATCCAATTTGACTTCTAATGGACAGGATTTTTTTTTCTGTCCCTTTCTCACTCTTCCTCTTGTATACACCAACACCATTAATGTGAAAACACTAACCTTTGACATGTCACTATCTTAAATGAGAGAATACTAAAACAAAAGGGCTACTTTTTGGCCTTAAAGAAAATTTAATTTCCAACCTCACTGAATGCAAAGGAAGGCCGGACAGGAGGACAAAGAAGTACTTATTGTTGATTCTCAATCCGATAAGCTAAAAGAATGTCTCCTTCCAGAACATTAACAATTTATTGTGCATTAGACCATGGAAGAGAATTTTGGAGAAGAAGATTGTGAGTTTATATATATCTCTGTGTGTGTGTGTATGCGTGCTCGCGCGCAAAGAGACAGAGAGAGAGAGAGAGCACAATGTAGGTTCAGTTAAAGATACAATTTTTTGGTGAGTTTTATTATATATACAAATTTTTTGCTGGATTTAGCTAAAGACACAACTTTGTAGGTGGAGCTGACTGTAGTTTAACCAAAAAAAAAAATTACCAAAACAACGAAAATAGAAAAGCCAAGAACAGGGACACAACTGACATCCCTAAACCCTAACAAAAAATGCAGATATAAAACAAATCAATAGATGTCTTTTGAAATACTCCAAGAAAACAAGAAGAGTGACATGCCAAGCCTGACCGAAAATAAAAAAGGAAAAAGGTCAGACATGGTAAAGGTACGTACAGGCATGAAGCCATCAAATTGAGTGGCTTGAACCATTTTGCCAAGCCTGAGTTTCTCTTTGTCGATGGGCATCCTGCAGGTCTTGCATGATGATCTAGATGACTTTGCGTACTCTGCCTTCCACGCCTTTGGAGGGCTTGCCATCGTATTTCTTTCTTTTATGTTTTCCCTTTCCCTTTCGCTTTCCCTTTCCGCGACGTTTTTGCTCTTCCTTGTTTTTACTCACTCTGAGAGTAGTCACAGAGTATTTATACACACCCTGCTGGCTCTCATTTAATCTTAAAAGAGTGACGTGGAAGCCGGAGGGCTCTCCCGGAAACCGAGTTGAACTAGTCAGTTGCTTGCTGACTTTTTAATGGGATAATTTTAGGAAGGTTTCTTGTAATATCACTAAATTCTCCTAAAATTTTTAAAATCTTACTTACCTCCTTTATCAGTTTGTTTGATGTCTATCAAATGTCACAAATTGATAATATTATCCTTGCTCTTACTAGCTATTTAACCAAAAAGTCAAAACAAAATAAAATATTTAAACCAAAAATGTAGATTAAAAAGCAAATTATTATCTAATAATGGTCTATATTTCGGTAAATCGAAGTCGTGGTAGAACAATAAAGAACGTGGATAAATTAAATCTAGTTAATATAAACTAATTATGGGGATTTTGATGAGTAACTAACACTCTGTAAAAATTTTTGTGGATAGTTATAAGAAAGTTAAGAAATATTTTAGGAAATATGTTTTAATGTACGATATAGGGCCTGTTTGGAAGCTAGTTTTTTGGACAAGTTTTTTACCTACAAGTTTTTTAACAACTTTTGCTACAGGAACCCAAAAAAACCTTCTCAAAATTTTTTACCTACACACTTCAAAATACCCAAAACACACAAAAAAATTCCCTTTCCTTTTTTTCTTCTTCCACCCCAATCCCAACCCACCACCACCGCGGGTGTCGACCCGTTTCGTCCCCCAAAACACGGAGATGCGCCTGGCTTGTTGATGGCTATGAAGAAGGCGCACGTTGGAGAAAGGGCAGAGGGGAGGGGTCGCACTAGGTCGGGTTGGGGAAAGGGTGGGGGGTAGCGCCTGGGTCGGGAAAGGGCAGGTGGTAGCGGGGAGGGAGGAAAGGGCAGGGGGAAGGGGTCGCTGGCAGAGAGGGGTGGCAGGAGGGAGGGAGTCACACTAGGGAAATGGAGGGGTGGCAGGGGGGGAAAAGGCAGGAGTGGTGGGGGGTGGCAAGGGGAGGGGGTCGCTGGCAGAGATGGGTAGCAGGGAGAGGGAGTTGCGCTGGGGAAGGGCAGGGGGTGGCAAGACAGAGGGAGAAGGGACACAGGAGGTGGCGGGGTAGAGGGGGGTGGCGGGGGAGGGAGTAGGAGGGCAATGGGGAAGAGAAGGGGAAAGGGGGTGGCGGGAGGTGAGTTGGTGCTGGGAGGAATGCCTCAGAGAGGAAAGGAAGAAAGAAGAAGAAGAAAAAGGAAGAAGAAGAGAAGAGAGAAAAGAAAAGAAAAAGGAAAGAAAGAAAAAGAAAAAGAAAGAGAAAGAGAAAAGGAAAAAAAAATTTCACCTTACAAAAACTTCTATAAAATTTTTTACTTTACAAAAACTTTTACAAAAAAAATTTTTACCTTACAAAAATTTCTATAAAATTTTTTCAAAAACTTCTACAGTACATTACAGTAAAATTTTAGACAAACTCCCAAAAAACTCAGGTTCCAAACAGGCCCATAGTTTAAGTTGTACTGAAAACAAAATTAATCTCCTCATATGCGTAGTTTGTAATCTAAATCCTACTTATAGAAAAAAATTTATAAATAAGTTCGAATTTTAAAAATAATAAAAAATTATTTAATGACCAAATATATATTTTGGAATATCCTTTCCTTTTTTGTTAAATATCATGCATTATATTACATAATACTTGTATTACATCTATAAAATTACTCATTGTTGCATTTATAACCGCTCATATTTTCATATTTTATTTTTTTAACCATATATTTGTTCTTTATTGTTGTTGTAAGTTCCGTGAGTAGGATAACATAAGAAGCATTGGAACAAAAGTTTTTTTTTTTTTTTATCTTTATTGCATTTCTTCCGAAATGGGCTAAAATGTTACAAGAAACTCAATTTAATGGATGCATATGAGATTTTAAAAATCTAAAGGGCATTAAGTGATATTATACAAAACATTAGGAATGGTTTCTAAAATTATTCCTTTTTTAATTCACTGGTGATTTGCTTTTTGATTTCTTTCAATTCAGGTTTCTAGGGACATCTTCGACCGTTCATTTGATTTTTAAATTGTAACATTATAGGCTTTTTTTTTTTTTTTAAGGAATTGTGACATTATAGTTAACTACAATAGTTACAATCCACGACTTAACAACGCACTATAATTTAACTTATTAATGATGAGTCGAACCTAACATAAGATTAGACTATGGTTCATTCTAATATTTTTACATTTTTTTTAAGAAGAAAGGGGGTGAAACTTAGGAAAAGACAAGAAGGCTTCTAATTTCTAGTTCACTCCAATATAAACACAAAGAGAATCAAAATTGTTTTTCTAAATCAGTTTAATATTTTAACCACTTATAGATTATGCGTTGGTTGGATTCAAACCCAAGTCTAAGTTACACCAAATTGTTGAAGTAATGCCCGAGTCAAATGTAGAAAATGGAAAAAAATAGGTAAGTATGTATATATTCAAAATATTAAGCTCCGGCTCGCGAGCTCGAGTATATATATATATAAATTTTTTTTTATTTTTAAGTATATATATATTTTTTTATTTTTTTTTTAATTTTAAGTATATATATTTTTTCTTATTTTAATAGTAAAATTACATATATATCCTTAATATTTTATTATTTATTAAGGAAAAATATTTATTTTATTTATTTTTTAAAAAATAAAATAATTATTTTTTTCGAGTTCGAGTTTGGTAAAATATATATTCAAACCCAAGTCTAAGTTACACCAAATTGTTGAAGTAATGCCCGAGTCAAATGTAGAAAATGGAAAAAAATAGGTAAGTATGTATATATTCAAAATATTAAGCTCCGGCTCGCGAGCTCGAGTATATATATATATAAATTTTTTTTTATTTTTAAGTATATATATATTTTTTATTTTTTTTTAATTTTAAGTATATATATTTTTTCTTATTTTAATAGTAAAATTACATATATATCCTTAATATTTTATTATTTATTAAGGAAAAATATTTATTTTATTTATTTTTTAAAAAATAAAATAATTATTTTTTTCGAGTTCGAGTTTGGTAAAATTTAGTCAAGATTCGGCTCGATTAGTCTAAAACTCGATTCAACTCGGCTCATTTGCAGTCCTAGATAAATCTCATTCAAGCTTAATTGAATTGGTTAAGAAAATTAATCTCAAATAAACTCAAGTGCAACATTGACGTGTTTTGAATGGCAAAATAATAGCCGTGGAACTTGGACTCTTCTTTTTGGACGGGTGTTTCCTGAGTCGGTAATGGGCTTCACAATTGATTGGGCGCATAAGTAAATACATAGTTTAAATGCCCAAGGACATATGTCGGCTTTATTAATGGGCCCGCTTCCCGGATTTTCTTGCGTAATTGGAATTGGGAGGTAAACGTGCGAAATTTTGAAGAGAAGGGACTTGAGCCGAAGAATGGTTAAAGTTAAGGGACCAAAAAGGTCAATTTACGTTTCCTTTTTCCATTTTTCGGGGTTCAATTGTTCTTAAATTTAAGTTGAAAGTTTCGGTGAAGTGGTAGCCGGTCGGTTCTTCTTCCGTGTCAAGTCTCCGTGCTGAATTACTAACCGTACCGTAGGATAAGAAGAAAAAGGTACCGACTGCTCCTGTGTTTTCGCTATCGTTCTCCAGATCTGAAATTCCTCTTTTGTGTATTGTAATTTGGTTCCTATTCTTGTCCTTTCATCAGAGATTCAGGATAATATTCCTTTTTCCCTTCTTTTTTTTTCCGGGGAAGTTTCTTCAAATGTTCCTTTGGGTATTTGTACTTGCTAAAGCCCTAAGCACATATAGTTTCATGACAAAATCGTGCAAATTGGTTGATCAAATTGCAAAATCATCATTTAGTACAGTTGAGTTAATTATTGTCGTAGTTATTCGATTACTCTGTTGTTCATCGTTTGTACATTGTGATGTATCAGGGGCAATTAGTTGCTTCAAACTCGTGAGCTGCTGGGCATTATCTGAATCTCCATGAATTCTCGAAGGTTTTGCTTCCTCATCTCAATCTATCTTAATTTGCGTTGTTTGCATGTATACATGTGATGATATATGTTGATATTTAAGCGGATGTGCAGAACGTAAGGGCATAAGTTAGATCACTGCACTGATAATTCATTACGATTTCCACTGCAAGAAGAAAATTTGAAGTATTCAGGATTACACGAAACTTGGATTTTTGTTTTTTTGGTTAGACTTAGTGGAGAGGGTGGGATTTCAACTCTCAAGTAAATGTAGTGAAACTGCACCACTAATATCTTCTATATTGTTGAGGATTATCATGTTAGCCTAACTATAATATAAGTAAATCCGGTTGGTGTTTTTTCTGATTTAGCATGGTCTATAATTATTGTGATGTTATTAACATGTTTTAGCTCCAGGGATGATATACTTGTGAAGCGACTTTATTATGAAGTCAAGAAGTGTACTGTTTTGTGGTACCAGATGTCATAGGGTTAAAATTTACGCAATTGCTTCAACCAAAATATCAGAAAGGTCGGTTTAAATCAGATACTAAAAGATCTAATCTACTCTTTAGTCCAATGATGAACAATTGAAGGAACTTGCCATACTTGCTGAAATTATACTGCAAAAGAGGCTTTGAGGTTCATAAGATTTTATGTCATTATACTGCAAAATATCCTTAATATTTTATTATTTATTAAGGAAAAATATTTATTTTATTTATTTTTTAAAAAATAAAATAATTATTTTTTTCGAGTTCGAGTTTGGTAAAATATATATTCAAACCCAAGTCTAAGTTACACCAAATTGTTGAAGTAATGCCCGAGTCAAATGTAGAAAATGGAAAAAAATAGGTAAGTATGTATATATTCAAAATATTAAGCTCCGGCTCGCGAGCTCGAGTATATATATATATAAATTTTTTTTTATTTTTAAGTATATATATATTTTTTATTTTTTTTTAATTTTAAGTATATATATTTTTTCTTATTTTAATAGTAAAATTACATATATATCCTTAATATTTTATTATTTATTAAGGAAAAATATTTATTTTATTTATTTTTTAAAAAATAAAATAATTATTTTTTTCGAGTTCGAGTTTGGTAAAATTTAGTCAAGATTCGGCTCGATTAGTCTAAAACTCGATTCAACTCGGCTCATTTGCAGTCCTAGATAAATCTCATTCAAGCTTAATTGAATTGGTTAAGAAAATTAATCTCAAATAAACTCAAGTGCAACATTGACGTGTTTTGAATGGCAAAATAATAGCCGTGGAACTTGGACTCTTCTTTTTGGACGGGTGTTTCCTGAGTCGGTAATGGGCTTCACAATTGATTGGGCGCATAAGTAAATACATAGTTTAAATGCCCAAGGACATATGTCGGCTTTATTAATGGGCCCGCTTCCCGGATTTTCTTGCGTAATTGGAATTGGGAGGTAAACGTGCGAAATTTTGAAGAGAAGGGACTTGAGCCGAAGAATGGTTAAAGTTAAGGGACCAAAAAGGTCAATTTACGTTTCCTTTTTCCATTTTTCGGGGTTCAATTGTTCTTAAATTTAAGTTGAAAGTTTCGGTGAAGTGGTAGCCGGTCGGTTCTTCTTCCGTGTCAAGTCTCCGTGCTGAATTACTAACCGTACCGTAGGATAAGAAGAAAAAGGTACCGACTGCTCCTGTGTTTTCGCTATCGTTCTCCAGATCTGAAATTCCTCTTTTGTGTATTGTAATTTGGTTCCTATTCTTGTCCTTTCATCAGAGATTCAGGATAATATTCCTTTTTCCCTTCTTTTTTTTTCCGGGGAAGTTTCTTCAAATGTTCCTTTGGGTATTTGTACTTGCTAAAGCCCTAAGCACATATAGTTTCATGACAAAATCGTGCAAATTGGTTGATCAAATTGCAAAATCATCATTTAGTACAGTTGAGTTAATTATTGTCGTAGTTATTCGATTACTCTGTTGTTCATCGTTTGTACATTGTGATGTATCAGGGGCAATTAGTTGCTTCAAACTCGTGAGCTGCTGGGCATTATCTGAATCTCCATGAATTCTCGAAGGTTTTGCTTCCTCATCTCAATCTATCTTAATTTGCGTTGTTTGCATGTATACATGTGATGATATATGTTGATATTTAAGCGGATGTGCAGAACGTAAGGGCATAAGTTAGATCACTGCACTGATAATTCATTACGATTTCCACTGCAAGAAGAAAATTTGAAGTATTCAGGATTACACGAAACTTGGATTTTTGTTTTTTTGGTTAGACTTAGTGGAGAGGGTGGGATTTCAACTCTCAAGTAAATGTAGTGAAACTGCACCACTAATATCTTCTATATTGTTGAGGATTATCATGTTAGCCTAACTATAATATAAGTAAATCCGGTTGGTGTTTTTTCTGATTTAGCATGGTCTATAATTATTGTGATGTTATTAACATGTTTTAGCTCCAGGGATGATATACTTGTGAAGCGACTTTATTATGAAGTCAAGAAGTGTACTGTTTTGTGGTACCAGATGTCATAGGGTTAAAATTTACGCAATTGCTTCAACCAAAATATCAGAAAGGTCGGTTTAAATCAGATACTAAAAGATCTAATCTACTCTTTAGTCCAATGATGAACAATTGAAGGAACTTGCCATACTTGCTGAAATTATACTGCAAAAGAGGCTTTGAGGTTCATAAGATTTTATGTCATTAGAACAAGGGCTGTTGTCCAGTGGTTTACAATTTGGTCTGGTCACTATTTGTCTTTCAGCTTGCTTAGTTTTTAGCTTGAACATTGTATAATTTATTTTATGATCCAAATGTAATGTACTTATTGACTTCTGCCCAGTTTATTTTGTCGGGTTTGATTATTTCTTATTCCTAAATACAGGGAGCGTAATGCTAGAGCTGCACTTTTTGATGGCATTGAAGAAGGTGGCATCAGGGCTTCATCTTCTTACTCCTCTCATGAAATTGATGAGCAGGAGAATGAAAAAGAAATTGATGGGTTACAGGATCGAGTTAATCTGCTGAAAAGAGTAAGTTTAACATTTCTTTTGTTTTGCCTGAACAAAGTACATCTTATGTTTTATTATCTAAGAGGTATGTTTTCATATTGTCTATCACACTTTTAGGAGCATATTTTTTGAATTGAATAATGATGACTGAAAGAGTAGCTGAATTTTTTTTTGCTAATAGTTCTTTGCCGAGTATTAAACAAATAAATAGACAAACTAGGGAAGGGGGATCAAACATCATGCTCATCAATTTCTTAGTTTTCAAATTTGCTTTCATTGCAATGTTCAGTATCTGATGAGAATTATGTGAAAAATCCATATATGTGCTAAAAAGGTTGTCCTTTTGCAGATAACATGGTTGCTTCAGGGCTTAGTTTTCTGGTACTGTTTAGTATGACGCATTAGAACTTGTTGAGTCTATATTCCCAATCAGCATCTTATCTTGTATTAGAACTTGTCAAGTCTGGTGCAACTATGTGAATTTGTCTTTGATGGATTTATAAGTTGGTGTTCACATCTCATCTATATGCTTCCTGTTACCAGTTGTCTGGTGATATACATGAGGAAGTGGACAATCATAACCGCATGCTGGACAGAATGGTGCGTGGACAGCAATGATGTAGCCTCATACCTGAATAATCTAGTCATTGAAATTGATTTGACGCCGCATTGATTTGTTTTACTGTTTCAGGGTAACGATATGGATGCTTCAAGGGGAATCTTAGCAGGAACAGTGGACAAATTTAAAATGGTATTTTGCTGAAAGAATAACCTCTACAAGATTGCCTTAAAATTTCATTTGTGTTGATGCATGCTGTTTAGATTATGATTTGGTTTCCCTGTTTTTATTTGTTTAGGTATTTGAGACCAAATCAAGCAGGAGAATGTTTACACTAGTGGCATCATTTGTGGTCATTTTCGTGGTTGTATACTACCTCACTAAGTAATTGGGGTTGAGAGCCGGTGCATTTTCTAGAACCATGCATAGAACTTCCTGGCATCTTTCCTGATCATATGTACTTGTATACAAGAATAGCAGTGCTTTCTTCACTTTGTTAATGTAATGAACACCAGCACCAGTTGTAAGATGTTGCCATATGCATGCCTATGTAAAAAATGTTTTGGTGCACTGACCTTTGAACGTGTGCAATGACTATTACTATCCTGCGCTACACCTTTGATGGAATATGCACGCATTTTTCATGTTACGGATGCAGTTGACTTGATTTCTGGAATTGCCGTCTCTCAGGCTGTGAATAGCCATATTCATAGAGCTATCTGAATTCGTGGCTCTACTTCAATAGGATATTCTTCTAGCTGGCTTCCATTTTATGCTTGCGTTTATCTTTTTGGCCTAGATCCGGGGAGCTGATGGTTATTATTATTATTATTTTTGGGAGTGGGAGAAATGTCAAGAGCAGGTTTTGCTTGTGTCACGGGGGCTTGTTTGTCTGGAGCACGCATTTTCTGTTTTTAATAAATAATAAATAAAAAAAAGGCAGTGAACGTTTGTATGATGATTTTTACTCGTTGTTTGGCTTGCCTTTTGGACAAGAATCAGAAGAAGCGAATTACAAGTGTGCACCATAATCATGCTGCCTTTGGTCCTTAGCTGAGCTTTTGCAGCTTTTACTACCTCACCTTCCAAGTTTGGATAGTGTTTTTACTCTATATAATATTTCGCTTGCATCATAAACACATTTTTAACTCATTTTTTTATATTTTCAATCACTTTTTTATCTCATATATATCACATCATAAAAAATGTTATAGTAATTATTTCAAATAATATTTTAAATAATAATACATTATCCAAACAAAATACTCCCACGTTCTGTTTTTAATCTCCGCTGGAGTTCCGATCCAATAATACATTATCACATAAAAGTGGCCTGCTTGGTGCCCAAGTAACAAAATAAAATTTTACGAAATTATCCTAGTATATTTTGGTATTAGTGACAGTCTGAGTTTGCCCAAGTAATTGTACGCGTTAGTAACGATAACGGGTTTGCCCGGCGAAGAAAATGCTGGTCAATTTGATGATGGGACGGGTGCCGGGAGGCTGTAATCAGGCGGAGGACAGCAGCCAACATGTTATGGGAGGCGGCAGTTGACGCAAAAAAGGTAATGACATGCACCAGCCGGGAATCGAACCCGGGTCTGTACCGTGGCAGGGTACTATTCTACCACTAGACCACTGGTGCTGGACGCATGCTCGTTTTGTGTTCTATCTTTAATAGACTATTAGCAGTTCAACTCCTAACATTTGCCCAATTCCTGCCATGATATGGTGCTGTAGGTCTGTAAAAGCTAAATATTATTAATTTAGACAAGCATCCTCCGTAGCCACAATATTCGAGGGCATGGATATATGAAGGATTACAGTAATTGCTGGCAACTTAATAAAATTGCTAAAAGTGGAGGCAAACATCGCGTAGCCTTTAGATGAAATATTATTGTTAAAAAGAAACTTGTACTGCCGCAAGGGAGGAAATTTTTCACCACCTCAGATGTTGAATTGAAAGTTGAAACCCAACCCCATTTCTAAAAATATGACGAAAGTACAGTCCTTTAAGCTGTATTCTGAAATCAAAGTATTTGCAAAAGGTAAAACAAAAACAACCTTCTACTGCAAAAAGAAAAAAAAGAAAAAAAAAAACCAAATTAGCTTAGCTACCAGTCGACCGACATGCATCAGCATGAACAAATTAACAACTACTGCTACTCTTCAAGCACGGAAGATATTCTAATATGGTCTCAGTCATAACGGCAGCTCAATTGCTCAATCATTAACAAAAATAAGTACTGACACGTAATACTACAGTCCCCTGCCGGCCCCGGAGTTTGGCCCGGTGGCATGAGATTGCTGAAAAAGGGAATTGATCCCTGGTTCGAGTCTCGCTGCCAGTAAATTGCGGGGCGGGGGATTTAGTCTGCGGGGATCCATTTCTTAAGAAACACCAAAAAAAACAAAAACACTACAGTCCCCTGCCGGTTCCTGCACATCGCTGCCACTTTACCTGTGGCCTAATCAATCTTCTGGACTGGAGCATAAACAATATTTAGCCGTAGCAATTTGCAGGCCAATCAACAAACCAACAGAATATATATATATATATATATATATATATATATATATATGTATGTATGACCGAATGCTGGACTTTGAAGCTCTTTAATTAGCCCCAAGCATTAATCAGACCGAGTCGGTACTCAGTAATCAGTTAATCATCAGACACCTGGCTCAACCCCCTTAATTGATTAAGTTGCTGGTTATTAAACTGTGGTTGCCCTTTCTTTCTTTTTCTCTTTCTCTTTTTCTTTTTTCGGGGTTTCGCTATTCTTTATCGTAGCCTGCAACTTATATCATGATTAAACTCTTTTAGTAGTTAGTGGCCACGGGATTTGAAGGCTTCAAACCTCTCAAACCTTTTCGAGCAGACAGGCGGCTGAGAAGCTGTGCATATATATATATATATATATATATGCATGGGAATTAAGTGCATTAGGATTCTGCAAACCTGCACTCTATATAACTACACATGTAGTGGTGATATAGCAAATGACAAATACAAGACATCGTTCGTTTGGGAAATACAAGCACTGAATTTAGAATATATTCATCCCCTTCCTTCCTATTGAGTCCAGAATCATATTGCGGTGTTGATTCCTTCTCCAGTATATCTAGTACTTGCTATTGGTAGTGGCTCATACCAACTTCACCAAGAAAGCTTGATATAAGGCTATGACTAGCGTTCATAAAATCAACACAAACTGGATCCAACCGATTCTGTCTTAGACTCGATTACGAAACAATCTAATATACTGTAGGGAGGTTGGAGGGGGAAATTTAAAAGAGAGGGGAAAAGCTAGGGTGCAAATTGTTCCTCTCTCTCTCTTTTTTTTTTTTGAGGTAATGAAAACTTCAAGAATAATGGCCTATTACGCTACCCAGTGATATTCAGAATTTTAACTGTAAGCTGTGGTTGGACACAAAGTTGCTGTGGGCATAAGGGTGTTTACGAGTAATTAATTAATAAGCTGTGTCCTATATTCTTTATAAAAGGCAGATTGTACACCGATTGGTTAACCAGTATACATGCATGAAAGAGGAAAGGAAAAAATGCTGTAAAGTCTATATTAGCTTGAAGGCTCAAACTTTTTATGATGGTCAACTTCAATTTACGGACATCAGAATCCGAATTTGATGCATGCACGAAAACTTTTTATGATGGTAAACTTCTTCTGGACCAAGTTGATATATTATACTTATTTGTTCTGTATGCTGATAATGTTATATTCGTATCTCCCATATCAACCAAAATATCATCGTAGTTCTGTTGTATCCTTACCCCGGGTGCCAAAATGAAGAAATTATAAACTATTAACTGAAAGATTAGCCAAGCTAGCTACCTCATCTACAGAGTCTCCCGTCTTTCTTTAGACTTATAATTAAGAACAGCATTTCCCTAACGAGAAAACTGCAAGAACAACCGGACAACGAAAATTGCTACTACTGAATACAGCTACATAGCCACATCAAATTATTTGCTGTTCTTATTTACAGTGTTTCATGTTTCTAGTTGGTGAACCTTCTGCTCTTCTTATTTACGTAAAGCTTGCCATACGTACATCGGATTTTGCTGCATTAGAATGCAGGTTTGGTTTTACAAGGAGTGCTACATTTACGGCAATGTTCTTGATTTGCCTAAATGTTTTTTAACCAAATTAGCTTGCACAGGCTTAACCAGAAAATTTATCTTGGACCCCCTTTTCTTTGGCTGCTACAAAAGAAAGACAAATGCTAAACTTACAAGATTTCAATTAAAAGGTTAATCATGTTATGAAGCCGCGGAAAATTTGGTTAAAATTGATGTTATGCCAAATCTAATGAATTTCATTGAACCAAGCGAGAAGTCTATCAACACGAAGAAGCCTATAAAATTTTATTGGTACATACACAGATTTTGCACTCAATAGAATAACATAGAGATATGAAGGAAACACATGATAGGAGAACAGTATTACTGTACCCTAAATCAGATTAGGGTTAATATTGGAGAGGGAAAAGCCACTTTAAAAATCTCTTACCGGAAGGTGATGCATCCATCAGCTGCCGGTCATCTTCGTTCCCCAACTGCGTAGTGTTTCCACCATCTATAGGCCTTCTCAATGGAACTTCAGATTATAACGTACGTAAATTTGGAGTAAGAAAGACCACCCCACTCTTCAATAGGAAAATGGTGCTTTTGCCTTTTTGCATAACAAGGCTTTTTCAGCTTCCAGAAAACTCGCAGCTGCAGCTGTACAACATCTCCAAAGTCCAATAGTCCATACATACATAAACTACATACGATAGATATAGACTAAGTCTCCCTAGCTAGCTAGCTAGGGACCAAGTCGAAGCTCCAAATCTAGTTCATCTTCTTGTCCTCCAATTCTTCTGGCCTTTTCAAAGTCTTCAACATGTGCAGAAGAGCTACATGGCAAGCCGAAGCTCATGCTCCAATGATCTACCCCGAATGGATTGAAACGTTGTGCGCTGTAATGATGGTTCGCGAAAAAGGGCTGCGCAGCCAATCCAGAGGCAGGAAAACATGATCTACTATAATTGAATTGTGTGGTCTCGTGAGGTGCAATATAGTAAGGTTGGTGGCTTGGATTCATTTGCTGGTACGATAATCTTGGAACCGTGTAATCCTCTTCATGCTTACTTGAATTGGTCGAAGTTGCAGGCTTATTCCTAGCCCTATCTTTCCTGTGGATATTCATATGTCCACCTAAAGCCTGAGCCGTATTGAACCCTCTTTTGCAAAATACACACTCATATGATCGGCCCATACCTAAGCTGTTATCTTCCTCCGGCGGCGCCAAGTCAACTTCTTGAATATTATTGGAGCCCATAGACGTGTATATGCAAATGAAGCTGATGATATATAGTACTTAGCAAGGGACAATGTCTAGCTATGTACAAATTGAGGTCGCAGGAGAGAGGGGACAAGGGCCTTATATAGAGGATGAAGGCACCATGGAGGAGGGTTTGAGACAAGTGACTAATTGAGGGCATCAGTGATTTTCATTTTAGCGGCTGCATACGGACTAAGGGGACCCGAGGAGAGGGGGGGGGGGGGAGGAAGGAAATAACTCGTTCAAGGCTTTAGAAGCTTGCGGGTGGACTCCTTCTGCTACAGGCTACAGGCCGGCGCTG